TCGTGGTGTTCGTGCTCGGTAGGATATTATCGCTATTGTAATTTGACATTTGTATGTGTGACCTATGAGCATGTTTGTTACGGACATATGCAATATTTATGTATATTGTTTCAGCTCGAGGCTTTCATTTTCGTCGTGAGGAAGTCGTCAGCGTGTCCACGACAACGGAGACCGAAGTCATCATTAGTACGATGGCTCCGTTGGTTTCCTCAACAATCTGGTGTATTTCCTTGGGGCACCCGCGATCGAAAGGGGTTCGCGACAGCACCACCACCGCTCCAGTGACTTCGGTCTCTCCGGAGGTCATCATCGAGTTGACCGAGTATTGTCGGTTTGTGAAAGTACTGTTCGTATGTTATTCTCCGGAGGATCGGCGGTGTATCCGATTGCTGAGTCGCTCGAAGCCTGAGTTCGTCGCTGTTTCTCCGATTGCCAGTAATCCTTTATTGGAATGCGAGAATTTTGAGAATTTTGTGGAAGTTGTCAAAAAATGAGGTGGCAAATTGCCTTTTTATATGTATATATATTTTATGTATAAATATTTTCTCTTAATCTGAATGTTTGTTGATTTCATTTGGAGTCGTCCTCTGATGAGTCGAGGTAGTCGATTTCTGCTGGACTCCATGCTGTTGGAGTTAGGCGATTTTGTCTTCGTATTTCCTCTTCTGTCGGTTCAGGGAGTAATTTGTTTTCGAGGTTCCGGAGATTTCTTTCTGTTATTTCTTTGTATCGCCAGTATTGCTGTCGTAGTGATTCGTTAGCCTTTTTGAGTACTTCTAGTGCTTCCACGTTGTGCTGGCAGTCCTTCCTAGGACATGGTTTGGGTTCGATTTGGCCGCGTTGTTGTCGGGCTTTCTCTCTGTATGGCCTTCTTTCCTCTTCGGTCATCTTTCGCCATGATTCGTCAGTTACAATTTTGAGGGTTTCTATATCGGGTATATTGTGTTTTTTCTGATATTCTAGTGCGAAAATCCAGTATGGCTGGGGTTTACATTTCTTCTTGGGTTTCACTGATTCTTGGTTCATATCTGGGTTTTGTTATTAGGCACAGCAAGAGAAAAAACGTTCGAATTAGAGATTTTAGCCGGTGGTGGTTTAAATCGAGGGAGGTTTGAGGCCGGGGTTCGATATGTAATTAAGCGATTATGATCTTAATTAAGCTGGGACTGTAGTTGATTGGTATGGGAAGTCAACAACATTTTCCATGCTATCGCTGGGGATCGTTGGTATGAGCTCATAATTGGTTCGGGAATTGAAAACCATGCACAGAGGTGTGATCGCAATGATCAGCGCGAGTGCGAGTATCGCACTGCCGCTGGCGAGGGCCATGTGCAACAATTGATCAGAGTTACTGTTGTTTGGCTTCTCTTCAGGATGAAATTTCTCCTTGAATGTTAGCCAGATCGATTCGCCTCCGATGGGCGGTAGATTCGGTCTGAGACAGGCTGAGCTGTTATTGGCTTCTTCCGCGCAGGATGAGTCGGAAGGTGTGCATCGTCTCAGGAAATTGATTGGATTTTTCTCAATGATGCAGCTGATGTTTTTTGTTGTACATTCGGTTGGACAGTAGTCGTGAGTGAAATAGTTCGGGGTCGCTGACGAGAGTGACGTCAAGAGCATCACGATCATCATTATTTTGGAGACCATTTTCTCAGACCGATCAGATTCCGAAGATTCTCGAATATCGGTTTGGCTGGTGCTTTCGTCAGAAGGTCTGCTAATTGTTTTTGAGTTTGTATATATTTGAATCTGAGCTGTTTGTTTTCGTGAGTCTCTCGAATGAACATGTAGCGGACGTCAATGTGTTTGGTCCGTTTGTGGAACTGCGGATTTTGGATGAGTTTTATTGCCGCTTGGTTGCGCGTGGAGTGACCGGGATGTTCAATTCGTTGTATAGAATCTTGAGCCACAGGGCTGATTTAGCTCCTTCAGTGACACTTATGAATTCACTTTCTGTAGTTGACAGACTGACTGATTTTTGAGCTTGGGATTGCCATAGAGTTGGACCACCGTTTAGTTTGCAAACAAGACCGCTTACACTTCTACGCGTTTCCTTGCACGCTGCGTAATCGGCGTCCGTGTAAAATTCTAGGCTTTTGGTAAGGGTTGGATCACCGTTGCCTGAGTACACGATTGACAGATCGGTGGAGCCCTGTAAATAGCGCAGGACTCTTAGAGCTGCGTTCCAATGAGCTTCGGTGTAATTGTCTAGATAGCGACTGAGCCAGCCGACGATGAAGGCAATGTCGACTCTGACGGCTATCGCGAGGTACATTAAGCTCCCGATAATTTCTCGATGTGGACGTTGTTGAAGCATCTGGGCGATTGTTTCAGACCGTATAAGCTTTTATGAAGCAAGCAAACTCGGTTTGTGCCATCCTCGAAGCCGGGAGGTTGAGTTACGTATACCTCTTCCTCGAGATCTCCGTAGAGAAAGGCAGTTTTAGTATCGCATTGCTTTAGCTTCATACCTTTAGCAGCGCTGATGGCCAGGAATACTCGTAATGTATCGAATCGAGCCACGCTTGCATAGGTTTCATTGAAGTCGATCCCCTCGACTTGATGAAATCGGCGCGCGACGAGCCGACTTCTGAATCTGTCAAGCTTGTTTTCAGCGTTGGTTTTTACTCGATATACCCATCGACAGGTGATAGGTTTCTTATCTTTAGGTGGGTCTACCAGGGACCAAACACAATGAGATTTCATTGAGTTGATTTCGTCCTGCATTGCTTGTTGCGATTGTTTGGCGTATGGTGAGGACATCGCTTGTTTATAAGTCTTTGGTTCGTCAAGTTCGGCTTCATTGAGCTGAATATCATACCGTTTTGGTTTTTTGATATTTGTACGTCGTCTTAAGGTCATATGCTCCGTTGGGGGGTATGAGAGAGAGCTTTCTGCCCGATCTACCTCTGTGTCATCATCGGACACATTTATAGGCTCGCCTTCTGGCGGCTCTTCGATAATGTCCTCTTCATTATCGGAAACCATGGATTTTTGCGCGTCTTTTAATTGGTTGGCCTCATCATCAGTTTCTTGGATGGAATCTAGCGCGACTTTATCATTCTTCCCCTCTATGAACGCGACGTTTTTGTACACGAAGTTTTTTTACGTGTTTCAGGTTCATAAATTCTGAAACCGTCAATTCTTTCGGTGTATCCGACTAGTATTCCTTCGAGTCCTCTGGGGGACCATTTTCCTCTCGGTTTTTGCTGGTCATAGAATTAGCAACGAGAACCAAACGGATGGAGATGCGTGATTTTCGGTTTTGGACCGTATATCACTTCATAAGGAGATTTGTTCGAATGGGGGCAAGTTTGAGCGATATTGAGAATATGGGTGGCACATAAGCAAGCTTCCGCCCAGAATGATTTTGGGAGTTTTGAGGATATAAGCATTGTTCTAGCCGATTTGCTGATGGTTTGATTATTTCGTTCTGCTTTTCCATTTTGTTCTGGGGTGAAAGGGTTGCTTGTGATTAACTCGGCTCTAATGTCAGTTAATGCTGTTTTGACCTTGGAGTTTTCGAATTCTGTTCCGCCATCGCACATTAAGGCTTTGATGTTTTTGCCTGTTTGGTTCTGGAACCAGATCAAGAACTGCTATATGAATTCAGGAGCTTCATCTTTAGATTTGAGAAGATAGAGCTTGTTGAATTTCGAAAATTGGTCATGCATGTTCATGAAATATCTGGCTCCACCGACGGGATGGTTTTACGGGGCCGAGAAGGTCGGTGCTTGTCACGCCCGTAGACTGTGGTGCGGAGGAAAGTGGTTTGGAGCGATATGATGCTCTGTTCAGCTTTCCTTCTAGGCATGCCGTACAGGTCGTCTGGTCATTTATGTATGGTATTCCTTCACGTCTCAAGAACTCTTTAACATAGCGCTTATTTAAATGCGCGAGGATTTCATGAGCTCCCTGCAGGGTTAAGTTCTTTCGTGACATTGATAGCAAGCATTCAACAGCTCTTTCGGAACTTGTCACTGTTCTTGCGTGAAGTGCAAGGAGACCCTTTTTTACAGGAACTGTAAGAGTAGCTAATTCTTTGCTCAGGGTGATCGCGGTTTTCGATGCGGAGACAGACCAATTTGTCCGTCATTAGACATGCCATCGGAATCAGGTTTCTTCTCATTTTCACGCTTCGACACTTTGCTCTCTTGAAATATTTTATTTCCTTGGCATGTGACGGGAGATCGAACGATGAAGTGCATTGAAACATGATATGCCGAATGTACCCGGTGCACATTGGGGAATTTGAGCTCGACTTCCTCCTGGAGAGCGAAAAAATCCTTCCCCGCGTCGGAGGTTCCGGCAAGCAACTTCCTTCGCTAAATGTTCATTCGCGCTTTGCTAGTGCTCGACAACGCTTCGACTCTTGAAAATCCCTCACGCCGTAAGTTGTCCCCCTTCTCGTTTATCGAGCGGCAGCCGCTCAGACGCCACCGCGCCGGCGCCGCCTGAAGCCGGAGAACTTCCTGCCGATGGCCCGCCCGAGCCGACCGGAGAATCGGAAACGAATTCCCCCAGTGCCCATGGCCGACCGTCCGCCGCAACCGCTCAGCCGGCCGCCCCCCCGCGCGCCACACCCGCCGTCGACCTCCGCCGCACCCGCCATCGACCTCCGCCGCCCGCGCGGCCATTCGGGCCCATGGTCACCATACGAGTTTTTTCAAGGGAGAGCTGTACCAAACTATGCCCATGGCACGCCAGAGCACCGGGAAGGAGCTGCACGACTTTGCGTTCCCTATATGCAACTGAATGAGCGAATCGGGGCGGGCTCCGTACCGGGCAATGACGCGGCGGCTGAAAGGCCGCCTGCTGCGGCGTCAGCTGGAGTCTGGTCGCCAATTCCGCCCCTAGGGGGGGGGAAAAGATTTTTTTTCCACATAGCGTCTCGGGTATCTCCCGAGTACGCAATTAAAATTTATAATAATATCGATTCCGCTGTGAATTTCGAATAGATTCTCTTCATGGCCTATGGCCGGGTGAACGCTTGTCTTCCCTCAGAGCTCGTTGATCCCAAGAGGATATATCATAGATATGGGTCGTTTGAATATCTTCCCATTGCTGAGCTGGATCATGCACGATCTATGCCTAAGATCCGTCCTTTGTCCTCCGAAGAGGTCTACGATTTTACAGATAGGCCAGACGCTCCTAGAAGGGCTCGGGTCCGCGAGTATGCACACGTCTCCAACTTCGAGTTGGTGGGTCGCCCTGGGCTTCCTTTCGTGTGCTGATCTCAGCTGCTGAAGATATTCGATCTGGAATCTCTTCCAGAAGCTGTTTAGAATGTTCTGCTGTCTCCTCCACGCTCTCGTGAGGAGGATCGAATGGGATTCCTTCGGATCCGATACTTTAATGACTGACGAATCCGGGAACCGTGCCTTGGCATGGTATCCGTATAGCAGGTCCGCAGGGCATAACGCGCGAATGTCGCAATTGTTGGAAGGTAACGGTGAAATCGGCCGTAGGTTGATGCATAGCTCGATCTCCGCTAGAATCGATTCTAACTCCCGAAAACGCGGGACATTCGTGCCCAGCGCCTTCCTTAACGGCTTCTTCACGAGTTGGACCATCCTTTCCCAGAATGCTCCCTGAACTGGCGCTCTATCCGTTATGAACTCCCACTTAATCCTAGATTTCGCCAGAAGTTGTTGAACCTCTGGCTTCGAGATATTCGCGTACGCGATCTCTAGCTCTTTCTCGGCTCGTTTGAAAGTTGCTGCGTTGTCTGACATGATTGTGGTTACGGATGGGAATCCGCTAATGAATTTCCTGAGTACCAGCAGAAACTCGAACGTGGACAAATCCGGAGTCGCCTCCAGATGAATACCGCGTGACAGCGGGCACACGAATAATGCTATGTAACCCTTGAATTTATTGCCCTGGTTATCCCTCACTGTGAGGGGGCCCGCGAAGTCTATCCCTGTCACGCTGAATGGGGGCGCTTCTTCGATACGAAAAGCTGGTAGTGGCGGTGATATCTCCGAGCCGGCCTTAGCTCTGAACCGCGCGCATAGCCTACAGTTTCTGGGGACTCTGGTTACCGAGCTTCTGGCCTTCAGACTCAGGAATTCGGAGCGCACATGGTTTAAATTAGTAGATATGCCCTGAGCGTGCTTGCAGATGCGCTCGTGAATCTGTGCTATCAGCAATTTTACGAAGTAATTCCTTCCGTCCAGAAGGATCGGAAATTTCCCGCCGAACGAAAGGTCGCCGGATTTTTCTAATCGAGATCTACATCGAATAATTCCGTTCTCGTCCACTATGGGATTGTATAGAAATATTTTGCTTGATTTCGATAATTTTTTACAGCTCGAGCTGCTTTCCATAGGGGAACAAACTCTCTGGATATCCCTTATCAAGGCTTTCTCCGCTACTGCGTATTCCGAAGCGCTTATAGCAACACCGAGTTCTGAATTATTGTTTTTTCTCCAGATGCTGGAAAATCTGAGAATATAGACGATCGGAATCACTGCTTTGGGCCAAGTCGAGAAATTCCTCTCGTTCAATATGTGCGATGTCGTCGGCCTCGAGGTTGTAGCTGACTTTGTCGAGACGTTCGCCCTGTCGCTCGACTTCTTCGCTTCCTGAATCGCTTCCGCGAATACGATCTTACCGATCTTCTCCGATTTCGGTAGAATTCTCTGAGAGAGCCATTGCGGACCCTTGGTCCAAAATGAAAACATCGCTGTGGGGTTCTATGCTATACCCCGGCTCAATAAATCGGCTGGATTATCCTTCGTGGAGACGTAACGCCATTGCTCTGAGCTAGAAAGTTTCTGGATTTCGGTTATTCGATTCGCTACGAACGTTTTCCACGCGCTTGGTTTCTCTCTGGTCCAACCGATAACCGAGCTATTATCCGCCCAGTACGTGGTCGAATCTATGTTTACTCCTAGAGCCGATTGCAAGTTGCTCGTGAGGCGTACCGCTACTATGGCTGCCATGCGCTCTAATCTATGTGTGTTCCAACAGCCCTTGTTGGGTGTCACCTTGGCTTTTGCCATAAGGAACTTGAATCTGGGGTTGCCGCTCCTGAAGATTTATCTCGCGAATATTACCGCACCATAGGCCGAATTACTGGCATCCGCGAATGCATGGATCTCGGTCCGCAGCGGGATTTCATCCAGCGATGCGTTTGTTCACTTAATCATGAACGACCTAGCCCCATCGAGTTGATTTGTGAAAGCCTCGCAAAGTTCCAGATATTCGTCCTTAAGCTATCTGTCCCAATCTAGCTTATCCTTCCATAATTTCTACAGGAGTACCTTAGCTTGAATGGTTACCGTCGAAAGTATTCCCAATGGGTCAAACACCTGCGCGAGACCGGAGAGGAGAGTCCTCTTCGATGGTTTGCCTTCTCTCAGGCTCTGAACTGCCCTATCGACAAAGACTCCCAGCGTATCCGAGACTTGGCACCATCGCACGCCCAAGAACTTAAAATCGCTTTCACCGACTCGGACGCTTATGTTCTGATCCGCGAAGTCATGCTCCAGCATTCTTGCCAACTCAACATTGTTGCAAGCCCATTTCCTCAAAGGGAATTCAGCGGCCGCGAAAATTGTCTCGCAGCGCTCCGCTTTGTCTCTGGCCTCGTCTATGCTATGTGCTGAGAATGATAGATCATCCATGTACGCTGAATACATTATCTCGTCGATAAATTCTGTTTCGTTCGGATATTTCCGTTTCATGAACTCCAGGTGGTACTTGAGACCTGCCTGGTGCAGCCATGGTGAGGATATTAGCCCGAAATCTAGCCTCTTAGACAAGAATCGTCTCAAGGGGGCGTCTGGGTTGGTTGATGTACCCGGTCGCCAGAAAAATCTTAGGAACGTACGATGTGATTGGTCTATCTCGGACTGGTGAAAAGCCTTCTCGATATCTGATATGATCACGATGGGGGAGTTTCTGAATCTCGCCAGGACCCTGAGTATGTTGGGTAGCAGATTAGGACCGGCTATGAGCACGTCGTTCAAGGATGCCGAATCCTTCGACCTTGCCCCAGCGTCCTTTACCAATCTGATCTTGAAGCCCAACTAACTTTCGTGGGCAGGTTTTCTTACCACCTGAATAGGCAGATAGTGTGCGAATTCCCCTTTCTTTCTCTCTGGGGCCTTTTCCGCAAACCCGCTCCTTATATAGTTCGCTACTTCATCGTCTGCTGCCTTGAGGATCTCTGGCGAGCTCCTAGAGATTAGGGTTTTCAGCCTTATCTGAGCCAGCTGTTCGTTGTCTCCCATCACGTGTATTTTATCATTGAATGGGAGTTTCAGTGAGTATCTTCCCGACGGAAGTCTCCTGATGCCCTTCAAGAAAATTTCGTCGTATTTTTTCGCTTCGATCGCGGCCTCGTTTTCCTCTGGCGGTTCTATCCCCAATAGTTCCGACCGGAACATGAATTCAATATCTCGGGGGGTCCCTAACGCGTCGGTAGTCTCTTCTATGTATATTGAGTGCTCTCGAGGCCTCTTCGGTAGAGACCGACGCTCGTAATTGACCAACGCTGAGCGTTGTCGTGCATGGGCTCGGTACTTCTTTCTACCCGAAAGTAAACCAGCCGAGGCGTGTTCTTAACCCGATCAATGATCCTTCGGACCTGGATTCGTTGAGCCAAAATTTTCCGATGTGGTCGTTCCCTATTAGGATATCTATATTCTTGTGGCCGGGGTCGGAAACTCTATCCGCATAATCCAGTTCACAGGTCGATTTCCCCGCAGGCGGGAAGACGGTTTTCGTGAATACTGGTATCCCCAGACACACTATGGAAAACGACGCGTTGGGCTCGAATCGGCTCCTAATGGTAATTTCGTAGTTGGAATATTGCTCCACCTCCGAGGCCTGACCGCCCAACGTATGGTGGATCAGATGCTCCTTACTGATCGCCTTAGCTCTCAGGGATTTGGCTAATTGCTCAGTGATGTAAGATCTCCGAGAACCGATGTCTAGCAGTAACCGTCGGAGCTCGACGATAGGGCCTATCACTACATAGGCATAGCCAGTAGCGAGGTTCGCATTGCCTCGCATGTGCTCGGTGATATCTCCTAGAGCAGGGGTGGCCAACCTTTTTCGTCCCGCGGACCACCAAAGTCATGGCGACGGACCCCGCGGACCACCAAAATTTAGGTCACCCGTTTTAAAATCAGAACGCGAGAAGAAGGGGGCCAGAATACATCAAGAATGCACTTAATTTATCTTCATAGCACCAGATATTTCACCTCTTCGAAATACAAGCATGATAGAGATAGCAAAGAGGAGCTGCGCAGGAGTTTTCACAATCTCCATGGACTCCGAGTTCGAAAACAATTAAGAACGTTCACGCAACCTACGTTAACGTGTATAAATAGAATTAGTGCGATACCTGTGCTTGCTTCGACGACAAGATCGCGTCGATCTGAGGCGCTAGATTCGTAACTCCTAGTCGAAGTTCCGCGTGCATCTCGAGGGAAGTCCGATATCTAGTCTTGATGGCAGTGACAGATGAAAACGTTTTCTCGCAGAGGTAAGTTGTGGAGAATTGCACCAAAATCTTCATCGCTTCCGCGCTCAGCATCGGGTATTCTTGTCCAACTCCGAGCCAAAAATGAGCTCTCGACAACGAAGCGTGGAACTTCATCTGCAGGCTCGCATCTGAAGCGAGATCCAGCAAGCTTTCTTTCCCTTTCATGCACAAATTCGTGTCGTCAATTTTCGCGGTGAACGGATCCAGAATCCAGAGACTGCCATTTCTGGGATCTTCTTGCTCCGGGTAGTATTTACCGAACAAATCCATGAGGGTTTGTAAATGCTCCCGGACGATTACGACCACTCCCTCGCTGAGGTGATTCTGCTTCGAGAACTCATCGAAATTAGGAAACATCGGAAAATCTTTCTCTGAGACTGCGGCGTGCCAAAGAACTAGTTTTTTACGGAAGCCGTCAATCTTCGCTCGCAGCGTGAACATATCGCAATGCTTCCCTTGTAAGGATAAATTCAGCTCATTCAAATGAGAGAAAATATCGGCCAAGTATGATAGTTTGGCTTTCCAATCTACATCGGACATGATAGCAAGGAACGTCGAATTGTTCTGCTGCTGGAAAAATACCTTAACTTCTTGCAACAAAGAAAGAAGTCGATTGAGAACTCTCCCACGAGACAACCACCTGACTTCTGCATGCAAGAGGAGATGGGAAAACTGAGAACCCATTTCCTCACAGAGAGCTTCGAAGATACGCGAATTCAATGGTTTGCAACGAATCTCGTTCACAATGCGGACCACATCAGACAAAACGCTGTGCAATTGTGGAGAGAGTCGTTTCGCAACCAGTTGTTCCCTATGTATGATGCAATGGGTGCTCAGCAAGTTGGGGTGTCCGACCTTCTTGACTCTTGCTGTGAAACCCATCAGACGTCCTGTCATATTAGCGGCTCCGTCCGTGCATACCCCAATGCAGTTCTTCCACGGTATGCTATGATCTTCGAAAAAGCCGTCAAGGACTCGGAATATTTCGGAGCCAGTTGTCCGACCCGGCAGTTCCACAGAGCAGAGAAGTTCCTCCAAGAGTTCTCCGTCGTGTTCGACCTTGACGAAACAGACCAATACGGCTTTATTCGTCAGATCTGTTGACTCGTCGATCTGGATCGAGTAGAATGTCGACTTCTTGACCAAATCGATAATTTGATCTTGGATGTTATCGGCCATGTGCTCGATTCTCCGTTTCACCGTGTTGCGCGACAGGGAGATACCTCTGAGTTTCTGGTAAGCGTCGTGTCCGATCACCTCCTGACTCGCCAGTAGGATGCATGGTTTTATCAATTCCTCGCCGATGACGTATGCTTTCTTGTTCTTCGCGATTTCGAGCGATATCAGATACGAGGCTCTCATCTGGGAGTTATTGTCACCAAGGGTCATATTTCTCATTGAATTCTGTTGCTGCTTGAGTTCGTCTCGCATTCTCTGAAAGTACTCCAACGGTTTGCAAGCCAGATCGGGATGTTTCAAATCTCGGTGCCTCTGAAGTTTGGACGGCTTCATTCCTTCATTCGATAGGCACTCCGAACAAACAATGCACAGCGGCCTAGGCTCGAATTCGCTACCGGGCTCTTGAATGAATCCGAATCTGAGATAGCTCGCATCGTACTTCCGCGTGCGTTTGTACTGCTTTTTCGGCCTCCCCGATGCCGCTATTCTGCCACCTATCCTGACCGGAGAGAAGTTCGAGGTCCCAGATATCTGTATCTCCGACTCAATTAACGGCATGGCCTCTTCCTCCAAGTCAATAACAGGATATCGTACTTCCCCTTCAGTGGCTAGCTCTCCAAAAGATGGGTTGTCATCGGCGTCCGCGGAAACGTGTTTTCGCTTCCTGAAGAAGCTCTGGATTCTGGCCTGACTCTTCCCGCCCATTCCGAGGAAACTGCTGGGGATTCTTCAATGAACTTGGGTGACGCCTTCCGGAAACAAGGCTAGAAGCCAGGCTCGAGCTCACTCTCGATCGAACAGTCCGCGGCGCGTACACATTCGACTGAACCCATGTGCGCGATACCCAAGCACAAATATTAGGAACGGACGTTCCAAATCGAGACGGAATCATCTGCTCGCTCGGCGTGTGGTGTGTGAAACTTCGACACGCAGAGCACAGGTACATACACAATCACGTCTCGTATCCAATGCGCCTTCAGCAGCACGCGCGGCCGTCTCATGACTGAC